CATCGTCAACTGGTGTCCAGAAGGCAGGTTGGGCACATTTTTCTTGCCTTTAGAATAGGCTGGAGCCTGAAAACAATACTTTAGAGATGATTTACTAGGAAATATGTTATTTCTTTCGTATTGCTCAACTCTCTAAGTTCTCATGGGAGTTGAAGTATGGTTCTTGGCACTGCAGTATGTTACCTTCTTGTTCTAGGGAACTGTGTTTCTGCATGGACGCTATAGTCCACCGACTTGCCGGGGGGGAGGAGGGGGAAATCGCTTTTTAGCTACCCTTCTGAGAACTGTTGCATTACACTGCTTGTACATTGCATTGGATGAAGCGATCCATGCAGCACCTAAGGCTTTTTAAAAGGCCTGATTCAAGCAATTTCCTCAAACTGGAGACAGAGAGAAACAAGACAGGAGGGACATAAAATATTTCTCTTTAATGCTTGATAAGGCAACTAAGGATTGAGTTGCTATTCGTCAGGCAGTACATGGTACATGCTTAACCAAGACTGGAAATAACTGTGAAAAAGAGGGCCATGGCCAGCTTCTACAATGCACTGTTGCTTCCCCAATGCAGGCCATTTTCAGCCTCACCCCCCGTTTTAAAGCTTATTTACATTAAAGAAACATGCCACTTAGAAAATGTATTTCTGATTAGGCATGTCAAGAAGTTCACTATGAAATCCAATTATTATGTAGCCGGCCTTAACCAGAGAACATTCAAGTAAGTTTCCCAGAAGTCCTAAGGCGGTAGTTTTCAGTTACCAGGCAGGCTGAGAAAGGTATTGCTGGAAAGTGAAACAAGGACAGGCGGAAGCTGGAAATGCTTTAACAGGAAGTGATTAGGCAAGTTGCTAGTATTTTCAGCCATGGGCACCAGCATGTAGGGAGAGCTACATGAAGCTACAAAACACCAAGTCTTTAACTTGAAATTTTCTGACTCTCTTTGAGACATGTGGAGGAAATAGAATGCCCAGACACTGTAAGTTTTCCATGACTAGCCATCCTGACAGAGAAACCCTTTCCAGGAAGGGGAGGAGGTAAGTGAGGAATATTCAGGATCAGCTATTTCTTTCCAGTTCAATGCTGCAGTTGTCCCCACCGGCAAATGAACATTGGCAGCAAGAAGCATGACAGGGACGGCTGGCTCTTTACTCTCTGGAGGCTCATGCTACAAGGCGCAGAGACAGGTAGTAACTTTTTCTGAGCCAAGACAAATGTCAGCCAGACACACGTTGTGATTTTATAGCTCCAGCTGCCTCTCTTCAGGACAACCACGCTATTCATTCAAGGCACTGCACCTTCTACAAGCAGACGCAGCACAGCCAACCTCAGGAGGAGAATCAGGGACAGCGTTTCATGCACTGAAATCCATCTTATCACTCAAGGGACCAACAAAAATTGTTGGCATACGAGAGGGGGTTAAGCCTCTTGGCTATGCTTGTCCGCTGAAAACAGGGGCTGCATACTAGAGGGCCTTAGCACAGTTGCAGATTAAGGTTCATAACAGCAGAATCATTTATAGAAACACCGTTTAGCCCAGTAGTTCTCCAACTTTTGTACTGGTGACCCCTTTCACACAGCAAACCTCCAAGTGTGACCCCCCCCCCCCCCATTATAAATTAAACACACTTTTTTATATATTTAACACCATTATAAATGCTGGATGCAAAGCAGGATTTGGGGTGGAGGATGACAGCTTGCAACCCCCCATGTAATAACCTTCCAACCCCCTGAGGGGTCCTGACCCCCAGTTTGAAAACCCCTACTTTAGCTAGTCATCAGTTCCATCCCTCTTCAGTTAGAACTCAAAGTCGAACTCAGAGCATAGCTTGCTAGTTTAAAAAAAACGTATTATGTTTCCCCTTCAGCTGAGGAGAAAAAAATTACAAAAGACCAAGACATTTGACTGAAGAGAGAGTTTAGAGTTGACCAAAAACCTTTATTCTTGGGGGATTTACTGTTCCCCTCCTGATACTTCTAGAAAGCTCTGATTCAGGTACATTTATGTACAGAGATTAGAACTGAAGCATGGGGACATGCCCTCCATTCCTTACAATGGGGACTTGATAGTACAGGGATAAATGCATATGGGCTAGACCAGCAGGTAGAAGGCAAAATAGGTACGTTTATATTCTTGGCACTAGTGTTAATTCTACACAAATGCCTGCTCCCTGGGAAAGTGACTATGCATGTGTTACCTCTAACCTAGAGAAAGGAAGGCTGTTTAACACCCCACTTCATTTTTGTAGAAGTCTGGAACCTCAGGAACCCTTCAGAGCAGGGCTTATGAAGGCCTGCTGCCACCTTACGAAACAAAGGGGCCTGTTCACTTGGAACAAGTACTTCCTCCCTACCAGAAAGGCATTGGGAGCAGACATATGCAGTCACCGTGCCACTCAGGTTTGGCACATTCACCCTGCCACAGATGAACAGAGGAGCAGACACGCCCAAACTGGGTGACACTGCAACGCGTCCCAGGTCGCAACACTTACAGGGATGAGCCGGACCCACACCCATGGGACAGAAGCCACCTTGGGTGCAAGGTGGGCTCATCACAGACTTCATTCTGATTGTTACTGTGAATATCGTGACCTCCATGTGAAAATTGTAGCCTTAATCATGAATTCATAGAGTCTGAGATGCTGTCGGCATAAACTTCTTTTTAAGAAGAAGTAACACTTCTCCGATAACAAAAACACATGAAAAAGATGCAAGACTTAATTTCTGCATTTCAGTCACCTTAGACTATGACAAATATCTGATCAGTTTTGCCTCCTGGTGTTCTTCTGGCACTATAACAATGACGCGGTTCACACCACAGAAGACTGGCTGTCTAAACAGAGAGAGCAAACACAAAATCACTTAGGCTTTGCAAGTCTTCTCCACTGCCTTCCCGAAATTATATTTTGAGTCAAAAACCATGACAAAATCCCTTTGAGGAAGTACTCCTTTAACGAGTGGAGAGGTGTTCACAGTTTTGGCATGTGCAAGGCAAAGGTGCTATTTACTGAAGCTTTGATAATCTGAAGTGCAGTATAGAATCATAGAATCATAGAATATAAGGGTTGGAAGGGACCTCAGGAGGTCATCTAGTCCAACCCCCTGCTCGAAGCAGGACCAATTCCCAGTTAAATCATCCCAGCCAAGGCTTTGTCAAGCCTGACCTTAAAAACCTCTAAGGAAGGAGATTCTACCACCTCCCTAGGTAACGCATTCCAGTGTTTCACCACCCTCATAGTGAAAAAGTTTTTCCTCATATCCAATCTAAACCTCCCCCACTGCAGCTTGAGACCATTACTCCTCGTTCTGTCATCTGCTACCATTGAGAACAGTCTAGAGCCATCCTCTTTGGAACCCCCTTTCAGGTAGTTGAAATCACCTATCAAATCCCCCCTCATTCTTCTCTTCTGCAGGCTAAACAATCCCAGCTCCCTCAGCCTCTCCTCATAACTCATGTGTTCCAGACCCCTAATCATCTTGGAACAAGTACTTCCTCTCTACCAGAAAGGCATTGGGAGCAGACATATGCAGTCACAGTATCTGTTGCTAGAGTCTGATTTCTCCTCAGCAGAGGACATTCTCCTTCCCCTCCGCAGTATATTATATGTACCCATCATTATGGAGCTGTAGGTATGAAAAGCAAAGAAAGAACACCAGTGGGAAGACTTCAGAAAAGGACTTGCACTTAACCCCTTGGCAATGGCAGAAACTATGTATTCCTGATCTGAAGTTGGGAAAAGCATTTAGAATAGACACTACCAGTTATTACCGCAAGAGGGAACTGTACATTTCCTTTATGTCCGTGCACTAAGGTGGCACACTGCCAGGATAGCCATTACAGTTAGCTCCACTCAAGTGCCAGGACGTGTCTCTATACTTTTGGGAGCAGGTGAAAAAAGTCAAGTCAGTCCGTAAAATGTTTGAGGAGAGGTGGGTTGAACAACAGTTTTTAAACAAATATTGAAGTCTCTGACAAAAGCTTCCGATGACTTTAGTGAGGTCTGGACTGTTTAAACTACACCAACTCTCACAAGTAACTTTTTCTGGTATGGTTTACAGTGACCTCCCCCTGGCCAGACAGCTCTGTTCTAGTTTGTAAAGCGGAATGTGTCAGAGGCCATGAGATATGTATATGCCATTACATCACATCTGCACAGATCCTGCATTAAAAAAACCCAGAACTTAGACCCACTGAATCCTGGTTCACATGAAAGACAATTACTAATAAGCTCTCCGGGGTGCCCACTGTGATGCAGATACTGCAGGGGGCATATGAGCTTGATGTACCATCCAGTCACTTCATATCAATGTAAGGTGGTGGTGCATTGAGCCACCGCTCTAAGCGGACCGCAGTGGCTTCTGGTATTAAACTGGAAGCAAGATTGCAATTTTCTTCCAGATGTTTTTCTATACAATGAAAGTTAATTACTAAAATAGCGAGCTGTTCCCCAGAATCCTTTAAGACTGCTGTAATAAAAATTGTACACACAGTCTTGCCTTTTATTTTCAATTTTAGTTGAATCTGAGAATGAAAAAGATACTTATTCAATACCAGGAGTATATACCAGCAATTGATAAGCAATCAGTACACCTCTAGCATAATTGTCAGAGGCTGCATCTGATCTAGGTAGTTTCACCTCTGGGAGAGGGGAGTTTCTAAACTAATGCCCAAACTGCAAAAGCAGCCCCCCCATAATAAAGAACAGAGTAAGCGTACACGATCCTAAAAAGGTCATTTACATTTCAACAATAAAGATATCCACAACCACAGTTTTCTAGTCACAATGGGAGTTGTTACAAAATCACGTAACTTTTCAGTCAGCTGGATAAAGCAAACATTCAGCCAACCACCAACGTGCTTTATGATATTAGACATCTCTACCTACTGCCACAGCAGAGGTTGCTTCAGTTTCCAAAGAACCTTTTGTCGTTATCTTCGACAAAGATAGTGATGGGAGGAATGGAGGGGAAACTCACCCCTCCACAAGAATTCCAACATACTCCACTTGATAAAGCAAATCTAGACTTTTTTTTATTTTTTTAACAATTTGCCAAGACTGGAATGAGAGATAAATAGAAGGCACAACAATTTTGCTTTTTTTTTTTTTCTTTTTTTTCTTTTTTCTTTTTTTTACAAATACAAACTAAAACATGAAAAAAAACTCCCTATTTCAATAAAAAATTTCACAAGTTCAGGAAAAATGTTTTAAGAGTCAAGTTCTAGACATTTAAAACCTATCCCACAATCCAAAATTTGTAAGTGGTAAAACAGTAGTTAGAATTCCTTTTCGTGATCATGTATCAAAAGAAAAAAGATTCTATGGATACCCTTTATTCCACTTTACAGCGCCACAGAGAGAAGAGTGAATGTCAATTTTCCAAGTGGCAACATGGCCAGACCAGAGGATGTGCACATGACCCTCAAGGGACAAACAATAGTTTCTCCTGCCTTGAAATGCTTGCCAAGTGCTAGGTTTTCCTACAGGCTCTTGAACACATGCAGGTGAAAAATTATTCCACTGACTGAAACGCACACAATTTCAGTATAGAGAGGGAAAAAACAAAAACAAAAAAACCAACCACACATTCCTTTAGGAAAGACCACTGGTACAAAAAAAAAAAAAATCCAGTCCGTTAAGTTTGCAGTGAGCAAGGAACTTCAGTTCTTTTCTTTTTAAAATCCACTTTTCCTAAAATATTGTTCCACAAAGCTGGAATCTGGGACAAGGACTAGGAAAAAAAAATCACAAAACCATAACAACAAACAAAAAGGGGCCAAAATAGTATCAAACGTAGCAGTCTATAACAGGCTAGGGCCACATTCCAAGATACCCAAGGCTGAAATTCACAAATCTGCAGGAACAAGGGTTTGTGCCACCATGCCAACATCCTTGATGCATTCACTGACGTTGCCCGACGCCCCTTCCAGCTCCAAATCCTGGTTTCTGAGACATGCCTCCACGTGGAGGCCCTCGAATCCCACCCCCCAGCCCTCCCCGAGTGCCTCCAGGTCCACGTGGTCTGTTGTCTCTGCGGTCACCCTCCCTGGCAGCTCGTGTTTTCTTCTCCTCCACGTTCAAACGCACCTCCCCCCTGAACATGATGGGCTGCAAGAGAAAGAAAAGAGATTTACCAGCATTAACAATGCAGCTGTAACTCTCCAACAAAGCCTTTCACCTGGGTAAATTTATGCTGTTCCCTTCAATGGGATTAGTATTAGGAACAGGAGCAAGACAAGAAAGAAGGAAATAAAGCTCATGGCAGCTACCTATTTACAGGTTAAAAAAAAACAAAACAAAAAACACTATCTCAGTTGTGTACTCAGCCACACATTTTTGGGGGTGGCAGGAGAAGAGGTGTGTGACGGTTCAAACAATTGGAAGGATGGATCAACTGTGACTTCTCAGGCAGTTGAACACTTTACATGCTCCACCTTTCCTGGCAAGTGGTTAGATAAGATGAGCTTGTTTCACTGACACACTTTAATACAATGAAAAAATCATTAAGATCACTGCTACAGTGTTCCGGTTGACTTTTCTTCTGATTTGAAGCAGCTCAGAGGCCCATACTGCATCCTCCATGCATTCTGGTGAAATCCTTCACTTTCAGTATAGCAGCATTTTGTATTGCTGTGATGATGAGTTACTGAGGGCTTGTCGATATGGCAGCAAGAGAACTACCACAGTACACACAGCCACACTCTGGGACGTTCAGTGGGCTGCAGCAGTGTCCACATGGTGAGTTAACGCACAGTGCGCTGCAGATTCGCTGCCTGGCTCGCCACGCGGTAACTCGCTGTGTAGACAAACCTAGAGTTGGCAAATTTCACTGAAGGAGAGAAGAGGCCAATCAGAACACACGCCCCGTTAGCATAATATGTAAATAAGCTACTGCCACATAAGGCTGAGGAATTAAGTCTACAAAAAGCTAAGAAATTCAAGAGTGAAGGTTCCTTCATACATATATCAATTATACCTCATTAGAGACCATGAGTTATTCTGGATGCTGTAATATATAAAGGCGGCTTGAAGAATTCCTCTTGCCAGTGACAAGCAGAAAGCTTTTCAGCTAAGATTCCCACTTGATGATCAGTTCTCACGGAGCTCGCGAGCCAATACCCTGGCATGAGGGGTACCAACACCCTTCCCAACAACCAGGTATGGGAATAGGGTTTAAGTATCTCTCTGTCACTTTGCCCCTAGACTCCACTGGCAGGGCCTCCCTTTCACAGGAACTGCTAGCAAGCAGGTTTAGCTCTCTGGTTGATAAAGATTACTAGTAATCTTTAAATTCCAATACGCAGTATTTGTAATGTAACAGAGATAGTATTGTTGCAAGAACCGGTCTAGAATTAAAGGAAACGTGCTTGTGTCCAGCATACTGTGCATGATCGCTGGAGAAGATCAATACAGATAACTAAAGTTAAATTACAGATGAAAATAAGGGTTCTGAATTATTAGAAGTAAAAGATATTTGAACTGTTCAGCTGTGGGTTAAATATACACAAAGCCCCACTACTGTCTTATATTATCAAGAAGGAGAGCACCACAGTTAATTCTACTTTAAGTCTGACACAAACATTCCCTAGAGCCTGCAGATTTGAGACTTGCAGGAAAAGAGCACAAAATGATATAAACAGATATAATACAGAAAGGGCCAAGGACTGGCCACTCCTCTCCAAAAGCCTGTAAGTGTGGGGTCACACCGAAGGGGTGAGGGAGGAAGAGAAGTGCCCGACTGCTGCGAACTCTCTAACGGCTGGCTGTACAGGCGCAGATGTGCGTGGGTGCAAAGTGTTTAGATCTACCACATACACAACAATCTCCATGGGGTCACTAGCTATAACCTTTTACATTCATAGTGGCTGTGGCCAGGCTGAGAGCAGGTGACTCTGCACCCAGCCTGTTTAGGATGTAAATTCCTTCTTCAAAGCAAACACAAACATGGTTCCCCCCGCTTCTTTATTTGGGCTCTGTTTTCTCCATGGCAGTTTTCTCTCTCTTTTGGTTTGCTTTAGGGATGTAAACATCCATTTTAAAAGTTAACTGTTTAAACTATTAAAATTATGTCATTTAAATGGTTAACCGATTAAAGGGAGAGGAACTGCTCCTGGAGCAGGCAGCTGGCAGGGCCTTGGGCGGGCAGGCGGCCAGCAGAGTCCGGGGGCTAACAGTTAGGTTTGGTTAAACAGTAAGACTAATGCTTACTAGTTAACTGTTTAGGTTTGTAAAATACTAGTTTGCTTCAGCATTAAATTTGGCCAACTGCATGTGTTAATTTCCAAACAGTGTGAACACGTAAATCACACTTATTCAGAGTGGTTCATTTATGGACGTAAACTGGGAGCAGAGGAAGAAGAGAGGGGCTAAAAGAACATCCCTTCTTCTTAAGGGACAGACAGACATTGCCCACCATTAACAGAGAGGAACGGATTCAAAAACGTTACTTCGCAGAATCAAATCTCCGCTAGTCCAAACACCGCCACCTTACCCTATTGCTAAGGATCTTCTGAACCGGTTCAGGATCATCAAATACCACAAACCCAAAGTTAGGGAGCTTCCCACCACTGTTGATGCGGAGTTCCACAACGTTCCCATAATCTGCAAGAGAGGAGCCAAGTTCTTTGGTCACACATTAGAATGTTCTGCAGAAACAGACATGTGCTTATGGTTGCAGCCCCAAAACTTTGTGGTGAACAAAGCAAAGTCAGCAACTTACTTTGGAAGAAGTCCTTCAGTTCAGTTTTATCCACATCATGAGGAAGGTTTCCAACAAATAGCTGATGACTGTCTGGGTACCTAACAATCCGTCTAGTTTCCATGTCACCCTGCTCACCTTCACGAACTTAAAACAAACAAACTTGCTTAAAGCCAAACAGCATGCATAATACCTGAACAGTCCTAATCATCAGAGTAACTGGCAAGCAATAAGATTCAGTCTCAAGTTCTAGTGGAATTTCAATAATTTTCACAACAGCCATGCATTAGAAACTCACACTGATGAGCAAACCTAAAAACAAAAAAAAACCCATCTAAATACTACAAACTTTTTTATATTTGTGAAAGTTCATTTCTAAAACAGAGGTTCAGGACCAGATCAGCTAAAACATCAACAGCAGCAGAAGTGACTTAGAATATCTATCATTAAGAACTGAAAAAAACAACACTAATCAGCACATCGTACATTGAGTGCTTCATGGCTCCTTAGGCAATTAAAAGGAGATAGAAATGGGAAAAAAAAGTGAAGTACTTATGCTCTTCTAGCTTTTCTTACTTGGTCTAGGCCCTCTTTGTGGTGGGATGCTTGTTCGTTGCTCCCTCACCCTCTGAGGCCTCTGTGGTGGAGTCTGGGATTCAGGCTTGGATTCAGGACGGGGCTGCAGAAATGAACAAGCAATAAGTGAGAAGTAAAAACAGGCAAGGCTAGTAGCAAAGTTCATTTTTCAGAGCTTACTATCAAATTTTCGATTATACTGAGATAATTTCCAATTTGCAAAAGATTAGCAGTTCTTTTCATCAGTGGCAACAGAATGCATTTCAGCTCAAGTTATACTTGTAACTTCAAAATGAAATGCTGTTCTGTTTTTATTGTATAGTGCTAGACTTTTAATAGTTATCCCTCATTCAATAAAATGTACCCTAGTGCTACATAATGTTGGAAAGGGAGATGAAATGTATCTTGCCTAATCATGGCTGAAAGATTTTAGTACCTCTAACTTGGCAAGTTTGCCCAAGCTCTGTGGAACTGCCCTCACTAGATTTTTGCGTATGTTTTTCAAGGCAGACTCACTCAATACACACTGTGAGCACATTTGGTCCATATTGATGAAGGTTTTCTTTCCAGCTACAAGGGTTACAAATGTGATTTTTGTTTAAATGGTTATTTACAAAACCCCTAACAATTGCAAAACCCCATGAAGAATCCTAAAATCCATGCTATAAGCAGGGAATTTCTACTGCATATTTTCACCCAGGTCCCCAAGTATTCTGTGATTCGTGCAGTATTCCTACTTGTGAGGCTGGTACTTTCACAACATGAGGTGGTATTCCCAATACTGGAACAGCTCCACTGGGTGGGAGATTCTTGCTGGTTACAGACGCCCACGAAAATGTCTAAAGGAATGAACAGTGTTACTAAGTAACTCAAGGCCTGCAGTTCTACTTCTAACAAGAGGCCCAGACCCTGAACTGTGCCTCTCAGGAGTGACAGTTGAGGTGGTGGTAACAGCTTTAAAGACACCTTTGAGCCTTCCGAGTTCTGGATCCAGCCCTCAGCCATTTCCCCACAGCTGCCTATGAACCATCCCAACTCAGAAAAACAGAGTGCAGAGCATTAGAGCCACACACGGTCTCATTCCTAGGGCTACTATACTAGACTTGTGGCACCCATGGATCCCCCTCCCCTGCTACAATGGGGGAATCAAGCTGTTTCTAACCCCTGAACACTGCATAAATAGGCAGGGATGCAGCACAGAACTGGGGCTATTGTTAGACTCATCACTGCAGGGGTTACACCCTAAATCATATTTGGAAAGATGCCTTCACAGCCGTAAGTTGGCTGGGCAGAGTTTGACTTCAAAAGAAAAACAAAAATTTAGTGCCTATCGATGCTTATTAAATTTTCCCAAATGCACAAAGTGCATTTTAAGATTCCTTGTACCCAATTAAATGTTCCCAGTTGTGGGAAATTACAAGGGGAAGACGCTTATTTAACGACAGTAGACATTGAGATTCAAAGAGTTCAAGCTTAATAACCGTTAACACACAATATCACATGTCAAAACACAAAAGTAATGATGCTGAAATCAAATTCTAGTAAGTTCTCAAGCAGTATTTTTCTTACTTTGCCTAAATTTCGATTATTAACAACCAATAAAAACATAATTCTTCCAAGCCTCACCATAAGCATTCAATGTATTGGGGAAAAAAAAAAAGTCAAGGACAAATTCAAGCCAGTTTCTGGAGCAAACTGAACAGGTACAAAACAGAGGGCCTTGATAATGTGTCCTCCTATTGAGATACCAGCAACCAGCTAATTGACCCATTGTTTTTCTGTGGAGAACCTCAATTTGAGGTGAAAAGGACAATTCAGGAGCAGGAGAGAAAAGTCATATGCAAAAGAATTTGGATACCTCTCATCCAGCTACCCCCATCTTGCCAGAGTAAAGATTTTGGTGTGTTATACATAAGGAAGAGGAAGAAAAAAAAAAAAAGAAAGAAGATGATGAACATACGCTTTCAACTACCACTGCTTTCAACTACCTGAGAGGTGGTTCCAGAGAGGATGGTTCTAGACTATTCTCAGTGGTAGAAGAGGACAGGACAAGGAGTAATGGTCTCAAGTTGCAGTGGGGGAGGTTTAGGTTGGATATTAGGAAAAACTTTTTCACTAGGAGGGTGGTGAAACACTGGAATGCGTTACCTAGGGAGGTGGTGGAATCTCCTTCCTTAGAAGTTTTTAAGGTCAGGCTTGACAAAGCCCTGGCTGGGATGATTTAATTGGGGATTGGTCCTGCTTTGAGCAGGGGGCTGGACTAGATGACCTCCTGAGGTCCCTTCCAACCCTGATAGTCTATGATTCTACTGATTAAACAATACAGTGAAAGTCACTCATTTCATTACCCTGGAATCCTCTTGCACCACAGGAGCAGGGTCTGCAGGGACTGGAGAAGGACTCTTTTCCACAGTCTCCTCAGGAACAGTTTCCTCCAATACTGGCTCAGATTTTTCTTCCTGCACTTCTGGTTCTGGCTCCGGTTCAGGCTCCGGTTCAGGCTCCGGTTCTGGTTCCACTACTGGCTCCTCCAGCTGTTCCTCCAAGTCATTGCTATAGAAAAACATCATGAATGGGAACAATCTTGCTTTTCAATTTGGATAAAGAACCATACTGAAGGCATGCTTATAACCCAGGTATGCAAAATACAACGCAAAGTACTAGGGCCTAGCAAAATTCACTTAAAGAGGCATATACTTCCGGGGGACGCGAGTTACAGGTTATTCTGCAGAACGTCAGGCTCAGCCTCACAGCTAATAGCGGATCATTTAACAATGTTGATGCTACAGCTCCTGCAGCAGAAGCCCAACTTCTAGAGATAAAAAACATGGTCATTCCTGACTTCTCTTCACATCTGACTCCAGACCCGGTCCTTAGAGAGATCACAACGCTCAAGCTTTGACTTCCCCATAGTAAAAGTATAGTCTTTTTACCTGACAGACTGCTCGTAGTACGCACCGGGATCATCAACCGTCTCAGGGGTCTGCTGTCTTTCCTCAGGTTCCTCCACCTCCTCCTCAGATTCTAGAGTGGGTTAGGGAAGAAGGAGAACTCAAGTCACACCCATCACACTGTCCAAGCTCAACAAAGGGATTCTTTCATAAATACATATATTTTGGGGGAATTTTTATTTGAATATCACTGTAGGAAGGAGGACTGTGACAGCAACTGCAGTAGCTGTATTCCAACAGCCCGTGCTGAAGTACCAGCAGTAGAAAAGGGACAAGGGGAAAAAAAAGCAACACAGGAGACAATTTGAATTTACTGCAAATATGCCTCTCGTAACAGAAGAATCTCCTCTAGCCTGAGAATTGAGAGTTGCTTACTATGCCCACTAATGCCACAAAAGCTGCCACCAGTAGAATTCTCCAGGCTCCTGGTACTTACTTACCCTCTGGAGGCTCAGTGTCCGAATCACCAAAAACCTCATCTTGGTAGCGGAAGATGTCGTTATGGACATAAAACTTATTTGCAACAGAACCCTGGAGGCAAGCAGGAATAAGAAGTTGGTTCCGTTATATTCAGTCCCAGAGCAAAACATTACATGATTATGAAGAGTTTACAGTCACAGTGAAAGATCCTGGTCACAGTTCTGCCCCTCCTGTGACACACTGGCAGTGCAGAAGTAGCAACTGCCCAACAGAGGGAACCTCTGGGTGGCACAAAAGCAGCCAAGTTGCTTCTACACTCAGCCCCCAAGCAAAAGGGACATTCTTGGGCAGGCCATCAGGGGAGAATACTAGCATGTGCTGCACTCCAAAGAATCACCACACTAGGTGATGCAACTTAAAGCAAATTTGTAGTTGAGGCTGTCCTAAGCTAGGATAGGACTGGTTTGGCCTCCAGTCAAGCAGAGGATCAAGGGAGTGGAGAGGTTGCTTTGTACCACTTTTTACCCCCCATTCCATGTACTGCACTAAGCAGTTTGGCCAAACCTAGGGATCTGGGCCACAGTGATTGGCAACTATTTCCTATTCTATGAGGAAAAACCTATAAACTCATCTCCAATATGGAAAATTCAAGTACTAGGTTCATATTTGCTTTGACATACATATAATTTTTAAAAATAAAGGTTTGACACGCCTGTCAAAATGGAAATACTGTTGCAATCATAAAAGCTATTCTACCATAATAGCAAGCACACACCTGTAGGCAACAGAGAGGACTATGACATAACCCATAAAACTCAGCAGAAAGCAATGAGACACTGTACAGCTTTTTAAATGATTCCTGAAGCAGAAAGGAAAAATGCTATTCAGTCCAAACAAACAGCTATACCTTGCTTCATTATGGCTGACAGGATCAATAAGGCCAAATTAAAGCCAAACAAAAGGCTAGCAACTGCATCTAGCTGTGGATTTGAGAAAGTTTTTTGGAGGCCAACTTGAGAACAACAGATCACAATTACAAACAGACTTATGGGCTTGGAGCTGCTCTACAATACTTCACGAATACTGTTGGTTTACCTGGTAAATTGGAATATTTACTGTGGTAATATAGAAGGAAAACAAGCAGGAAGGAAACAGAATGGCTCAAGATAGGACACCTGATGATAAACACACTGGGGCATTAAGAGACAATTCTAGGATGTAAAAAGCCTGGAAATCAAAGTCAAAGACTATGGAAGTTTAAAAGGGGACTCAAAAGCAATGTTCCCTCTAATTTTTCCCATGCATGTGAGGAATTAATTTTATTATGTGCACCAATATGGAGGTGATGTGTGGCGGGGGTAGGGCTGAGGGGTTCAGGGTGCGGAGGGGGCTCAAGCAGAGGCTTGGGGTGTAGGGAGATGAGGGCTCTGGCTGGGAGTGCGTGCTCTGGGATGGGTGTCAAGGATGAGGGGTTTGAGGTGCAGGCTGCCCTGGGGCTGGAAGGGAGGCGGCCACCTCTCCCCAGCCACAGCAGCTCTGGGGCTGGAGGGGGAAAAGAGCTGCCTCTCCCCGGCCGTGGAAGTTCTGGGGCTGGGGGCCATGGGAGAGGTGCCTCTCCCTGCTGCCGCACAGCTTAGAGGAAAGTTAGTTCAAGAGGAGCAGGCAGTTGTTCAGGGAAAGCAAACCTAACCTAGGACCGGCTGGGGTGTCTGAAGAAGATAGGGCCGCCTTCACTACCATGAGGATGATAAGTGTATAATAATAGACATGTATATACCAACTATTTTGCTGCACCTTGTCCATGTTATTTTCTACTTTTAAGACACAACTGAGTTTTATTTCAAATAGAAAAGGGTCAGAAGTTCATTCCACTTTATAAAAGTAGTTAGCACTTGGTAATCTATCTGTATCTTGATAGCACACCATAGCTCATGTGTCTGTGACTGGACTTCAGAGAAGAAAGGGTGATCAAATACAGAACAGCCAGCTCTTTATGAATACCAAGAGACTGATGAGTAATCTAAATGAAATACCTGAAAACATCCTGACTTCATGGATAGGTCTAGTGTCATATTGCCTATGTAAGCATTAGAGAATTTATTAATATGCTCAGATGCTGCATAGTAATAGTTTCCCTAATGGGGCTGTATTTAAGAAGTAGTATTTGACGCATGTCAAATATAAAAAGTATAATAGATCACAAACACAAAAGCAGGATTTTAGGTCAAACTAAGTCCAGTTAGGAAAGGCTGGAGACATGGAGATTAGGAGCTACCCTCAACTATACAGCCTCTAGAATGCAGAAGCAAAAGCATGTCCTCAAGCTAGCAAGGTACTTGTAAATAAGATGGGTGGGCTGCAATAATGCTCATCATGGACCTCTCATTCCATGCGTTAATCAAGACTCAGGGAACAGAACAATTTGTTATGAACTACCAAAGTTGAAAAAAAGACTAGGAGCTACAGCTTCCAAAACGTAAATTGGAAATTGCCAAGTTAAAAATAATGTCACTCAATTACCATCTCTCTTTCTTCACTCCCACTTTCAACTGTCACATGATTTTGAAAACTGCTATTTTGAAAGCAACTGCAGCAAGAAGTCAATACTTTATAGTATCAGAAAGCTTGGAATGCAAGTCTTCAAATGTTGGAGAGCATTGTTCTCCAACACTAGATGTTTGAGGTATCAGCTGCAAGATACAACTGTTAAGTGGGGATCAGCAATGTTTTGAGAATACCTACCTAAGCAACATTTTAATGATACTTATTAGGCACAACTCAAAATGTTACATCCCCTCCTGATACTGTTCCAAGTAATGTAACTTCTTAAAGCATTTGCAGCACACCACTGCTGGGCTCTTGTGCGAGAAACACTTTCCAACTGGAACCCTAAGATTCCAGTGTGGAGCTGAATAGCTGCAGCTATTTTCAGGTCAGTACTACCCCACGTTTAAAGTACAATAAAGCATACCTCAGGGGCAAGTACAAACGTCTGCATGAACCTGCGCACTGGCTGCATGTTATTGGAGAGTTCTCCCATCACCTGGACTACAACACCATCATTAAGAGTAGCATGGGCATCCACATGACGGATCTTTGTGTGGCAGTCCTTAAAGTTCAGAGACAGCACCTTCTTGTGGATGTCCTGCAAAAGGCAGAGAAGAATCAGTTACCCATTTTCTAAGTTAATTCAGTTTATCAGAAAGACTTCTATAGTGCAGATTGGTGGGTATAGAGAATATCAAGTTCAGGGTGAGGTTTGCAGTCTAGGGTTGCCCTCAAAGCCCTACAGAGCATAGACCAAAAGCCACTCCCCCTTGGTGTAGTTCTTTATATTTAAACTTTCCTCAATACCTTCAGCCTTCACTGTTTTAATCTCTCTAGGTCAGTCTGCTGTTTGGCTTTTTTCCCCCTCCCTCTCCAATTTTGGTGCCACTTGCAAATTTGATCATAAAATGAACTCACATCAAGGCAGCACCCAGACAGACAAACAAAAAAACCCAGGCAATCATGCCATGTGCTTTTTCTTCTGAGTTGAGACAAGAGTCAAAGAGGACACTTGGAGTTTGCGTTAATTTGCAGAAGATATCGCTGCTTGAATACCATTAAATGCTTCACCACTGCGACAGCATAGCCCAGGGCACTCAGCTCTAATGTGGTGTTCTTATCAGTATTTAATATTCATCTCCAAATTTCATAGCTGTCGATAGTTTTTGAAACATGTGACAAGTTTGCCCATCAAGCACAAAAGGATGGCAAATTACTGCAAATTAATTCTCAAGTCCCAGAGTAGGTTTGTCCAAGATGTTCACACTGCACCAAGTAAAACTACGAACACCCCAGAGAGCATGAACACACATATGCTCCGTATCTAATAGATGGATCTGCTTGAAACACTAAACAAGCCAGAAGACCTTAGATCAGAAAAAAAATCTAATTGTAACTATTTAATTCCCTGCAAAAGTATTTCACTCAGTTTTACAAAAGCTTACAGATTGCCCATAGACGGCATCAGCTGGTTTTCCATTGGAATCCAAGCCACCATGGACGTAGGAAGAATTCTTTCCATAAAACCTGTAAAAGAGGGAATTTATCCATTAAGCCTTGCTGTATTAAAAGTCGAATCATATTACTGGTCTTCAGAAGACAGTATTTTACTATAAAAATACTATATTTGAACCTAGGCTTAGTAACAGCACATGGTCAAGATTGCTCAGTCCAAAATTTCACTGCATGCAAATCCAAATTCCTATTTGCAAGTATTTGTTCTTCAAAACCAAAATTCTTCTGTTGTCAGAAGTTAATACTCTCACTGAACAGGCCATCAAGTTTTCTGCTCTTTTAAAAGAATTTGAGGGGTGTCTGAAGTCACCTGGCCAATTCCAGGTTCTCCGAATAGGTTTTAGGAAGACAGTACTCTGGAATCTTTCATCTTCCCAATGGAGTCATCGAAGATACTCAAACCACTGGTAGAGACTCAAGACACCAGTTTTGACATGCAACTGTACTCTGGAAAGTGGCCTCTAGAAACAGCAGTGTTCATGTTTATTGCTTCAGTGATTTCTAGATCAAGAGTTTTAGCTGAGCAAATTTTTTTGCGTCAATTAACTGCTAACCCTGTAAACTCACCTTAGTATATAAAAGTCAAGTTGAATTCTTTCTGGCTTAGACTTTTTCAGCAAAGAATCTGTAGGTGGAACTTGGTTCTGTTGACTGCCAATTTTACAGACCTTTCCTGATCATAACTACACTATATTGGTTTTATTACATTCTTAAGAGGAAACAGAATTATCTTAAACAAAAAAACCAAACAAGCCATCCCAGCCCCAGTACCACTATTTACCCAAGTAGAGCTCCACTGACCCTAAAGGGAACCAGATGACTGTAGAAAGCCTACAAAGACTTTTTTTTTTTTTAAAGGTATTTAAACACATTTGCATACTGAATCTCAACCACAGCCTAGTGAGTACTTGAGCTGGTTGGAGAAACTTTAACAGAACCATATTCTGCTGGAATATGCAGTTCCATTAAAATTGAAATCCTTTGTGAAATGATTTTGCCAGAACTTTGTTTTGGAAGAAAAAAGTTCTGACAACACCCATTTCAATATGTTCAGAATGAAACATTTTGATTTTTTGTTTTCAAACAACATTGTTTTGAAATGTTTATATCACACACAAATTTTTAAAAGAAGTCAAAAATCAAACAATGTTTTAATCAACCCAGAACAATTTCTTCAGATTTTTTTTTGGGGGGGGGGGGGGGGGGATTGGTATCTTGAAATCCTTTGCAAAATTAAACTTCCATTTTATACATACTAAATGTCACCACTAGAGCAATTTATTTTAATTTTGACAAGCACCACAGCTCATCTTTAATTTTTAATTTTCCTTCTGAAGTTAGCAACCTAGTATGCAGGAACAACATCACAAGAGTGAGAATGCAGCGATTTACAGACAGAATAGTGTCATCTGTAAGAGATCGGGGGGGGGGGGGGGGAAGAGAGAACCCCCCACAAAAAGAGTCCTGTTTCAGTCAAAAGTACCTTGACACTTCCCATTCAAAGTGCTGCTAAGTGGAATCGGTGCCACAAAATGCATTCACACTACAAATAAACTTTGCCTGTCGTTCTCTTTGTACAGTTTGCCAAGGCTATTTCTGAGAAATACGAGTAATACTTCCTAGACACTTGTATGTCCTTCACTTAACTGAAGGGATTGTCAAGCCATCTATCAATTTCTGTAGAAATTCAGCTTTTTAAAAGAGTTCTTAACACTGGTAATTGCAAAATAAACCTCCTAAGTGTGAGCCCATGCAATGCAGTCTTATGAGACAGCCGCAAGCCTCACAGCTTCACGCTGCTGCCTAGAATAATGAGCAAGACGTTGGTTAGTTTAACTCCTGCTATTCAGAACCCCATGGACAGCCGTGAAACTGACAGGGCCCATGCGAATATGTCTCTGCTGCTGCTGTTTTGGAAAACTATTAACAGCAGCACAGGCAGGCACTGAAGTATTCAGGGAAGACCTCCCAAAAACAGCTACAGTAGCGGGAAACACCCCCCTCCACCATTACAGCCATCAGGAGGTTCTATGATTTGGGGAGTGAAAGAAGAGTTCTTTCCTCTGCCCAATAGACAGAGCCACCAGTATGGTCCACCACAGTTCGCTGATAAGAATCTTATCACCCTTTCCTAGCAGCTGGGATTGGTGCTAGGCTTTGTAGGATCTTGGTGTGCTCCTCTCCCACAAGCCCAAAGCTCATCTGCCATATCAACCTAGTCCTTTGGCTAGCAGGTGCCATCTGGCAATATTTAGTCAAGTTCTGGTTAAAAATTATAATCAGAATGATATTTCATTAACCCAGAGACTTAAAAAGATACTAATGTGCAAACTACAGGTGAAGCTTCCATTTTACAGCTTCTTCTACCATTTGATAAAATAGCAGTAGTATTACAGAGCAGAGAATTTTGCCAGCACCAGGTACAGGTTAGATTAGAATAAAAACCAGAGCACGTGCAGTAAAGGGTGTCTGGGCTAAATGCGTGGGTTAGCTATTCTGCACACTTGTGAACAATTTTAAATCATCTTCACCCAATACCTGGTGACATTTATACATGAAGAGGAGTTTCAGGATTGTAGGAGTTCTTAGCTTATCTAGTGTTGCAAAGTATAACCCTAAGCAAGCGTACGTCTCTCAGTGAATGATATATTTATCATCAGGGTGCACCTATTTAAGTCAGCACGCAGGAAACCCTAATTTAAATAATTGAATTTAACCGTATTTAGCATTTGCTCTTCTTTTCCTAAAGAGAGGTTAATTTTCACTGATTGGTGTAACCATTAAAACATGTTGATTTCCAATCAAATATACCCTTTATACTTGGCGTTTACACTTCATGTGTCTTTTTGCTAACAAAAAGAAGGTTATGGGGTGACTATCACAGTTTATAACTAACTACATGAGAAACAAAAATGTGATTGATAGGCTCTTCAATTTAGCACACAAAGGTGTAAAAAGATCCAAGGGCTGGAGAGTAAAGCTAGACACATTCAGACAAGAAATAATGCACAGATTTTTATCAGTAAGGGTAATTAGCTACTCGAACAATTTACCAAAGATTGTGGTGGATTCCCCATTACTGGTAATTATCTAGATGGGATGTTTGTCTAAAAGATATGCTCTAGTTCAAACAGGACTTAATTCAGGAAAATTCTAGGACAGGTGTTATGCAGGAGGTCAAACTAGATGATCACACAGCAGACTCTTCTGGCTTTATAATCTAGGAATATCCAGGATGATAAGCAATATAATTGCTTAAGTAAATGTGAATAGATATACTATAACATACATTAATTCAGATTTTTAATTTTTACTTTATGTTAGAAACTGATGAATGATGCATTTCTTATTTACTAGATAATGATTTCCCTGAGCATGCATCAAGCTGCACTTGGATGGAAATTGGAGTTCAGTTAAAAGTGTACAAAATTCAAAAGGCCAGGCTTTATCTTGAATGAACTAGTCCAAATGAAAATATTCTCTCTGTACCTGTTAGCTAACCTGAAACCCAAATTAATCAAGACAAAAAACTTTTCTGCACAACAGAAATCAGAAGTAGACATTTTCCTAAATGTAAATACCAGCATTCATTTCATTGTAAAGACTGAAAATATGGATACTTAATGCAGCAAGTGACATTGTGAGTTATAAAGCTTGAGTTGATCTCAAAAGTAGAGATGTTTTTCCTCTGATTCTGCATACAATTTAAAATTTCAGAACAGTTTAATTCCTTACACTTTTGGAGCAGCTCAAGGATATAATGTACCTTTGAAAAATTATTTTAAATGATTAAATTAAGTTTAGGCCTTAAAATAGTTTGCCATAAATTTCAGATTTAATTTAATTTTTTTTTTAAAAAAGGATTGATTTTTAACCAACCTTGTTATGATACTAAGTCTTACAAATGAGACCTGAATGAGTAAAGAAGCTTCAGGCTAACAGCAAACAGAGCAGTTCTCAAAATATAAGTACTGACCATTAGAAATACCTTAGACAGATAAAAAATTATCTGCTGTAACCTTTACTTTTATTTTGTTCTATTTGGTCACAGCTGGGAGTGAATTAATTTACTGTAAGATTAGTGACCACCCAGCACAAGTTAATACATTAAAAAAAAGTATTCATATCTTGCATCTGGCAAGCCAAAAAGGAGGGCATAGGTTTGTTACAGTTTATAACATAAAAGTATTGTTAAATACATGCAAAGAAAAACAAAGAGAAACGTTCAGGAGCGTTACCTGTGCAGGTAGTCTGGTGCTTGATTCAGCAGAGTATAATACTGCCTTACAAATTCCCGCCCGACCAGCAGGGGACTTGGCTTCTCCATCACCATTTCTTTGGTCAACTGAAAACTGAAGAACAAAAGCTCCATGAAAATGTAGCTGACTATTTTGTTGTACACACTGAAACAGTAGAGAAGATGAAAGTATAGAGTTACAATGAAAAGCACACACGGCCAGCTACAATGAGCTTGAACACAATAATGTTACCCACTTAACTGATAAGGCTGTACTATCAACTTTTTTTTTTTTTAACTGGGGGAAACGACAACGGGAACTCCATTTGAACAACTGGATTTTTGTCCAGTTTCATCCACAAATCCTGGTAGCAAGCATACAAGTAAGGAAATCCTCTTGAAGAACCTAAGGGGTTAAGTCATTAACAGCAGATTCAAGCTCTATTTACCTCACCTGACTTCACAGGAAAAATTTAGAAACAAAACATACCCATGACACTCCAAAGTGAAGCCTATGCTACTGTATTAAGACCATTTTTAAAAAGTCAGTCCAACCCATCTTTTCCAACAGCACAAAACTCCTACAGGACTCTAATGCAGTTCTAAACAATCTCAAATTTAACAGGCATACTGGACTGTATTAATGTAGCCTAACGAACAAAAGCAAACTCCTTCCTTCCCACCTATCTTCCCCCACTTAGCTGATCATGTGTCAGCTAAATCCAACAGATAAGTCAAATGAGTTACAGCATACCCAGCCTTGGACACAGACAGTCTATTTACCTTTTATTTAATCCTGCTGGATCAAGAATTATAAAAAGAAAATGTTTGCTGCTGAGAGATTCACAAAACATTCTAAATCTTAATGTCTAGGTCAGTCTTAAAAAGGAATCTAAGAACTCATGGTCCCTATGTGCTTCCCCTCAATTATTCACATAAAATTGGTGCAGATTATAAATCAATGCCAGAGTTTTTTTTGCTACCAGTACCAGAGTTCAAGCTGGGCGACTGTTGCTTCATACATCACCATTACAGAGATGGATACTAGGATCAGTGCTTGGTTGACAGTTTTGTTGTTGATGTAAGGCAGAATACATGACGAGTGGCTCTCCTGCCACTATATTAGCTCTGCAGTGCTGGCAGTAATAAAAAACTAGCAAAAGTTTGTAGTAAACCGAGCAGATGTTACCCAAAAGACATATGAAAGACACATTCTCCCCAATGTTCGACACCCTAATCCCTTCTCCCTGCTGCCAACCAGGGTTTTAGAAATGTGACAAACCTGCTGCCCCCACACCCATCACTCAACTTGAGCCTCACAACCAAGTAGGTCAACAGTGAATTTTAGATTGGTTTCATTCTTTTAAATTTGTGCTACTAAAAATAGCTTCAGGGCTGGAATCTGGTCTCCAACAGCTTGAAGGGGCCATAACAACCTCCTGGGGAATTTCTCCAGCACAAAAGACAGCACAGAACCAACAAAGGCAGCCCTACTCTGCCCTCTGGTATAATGCCAGCATGGAGGTATACAGAGAGAGAGAATATCCTTTCTGAATATTCTATGATGCATAGTAGCCTGTAAGTGGTCAGGCTAGGCTGCCCTAAATCAGAACAGCCTCTGGACCGGCTTTAACTTATTCTGGAGGCTACACCAGCTCAGGAGGTAGCCCATGGTACACAGCCAACTTTGCCCTCTCTTACCCGGGCTACATCTTTTGTGCCGCACCTCTGAAGAAGTACAGCACGACATCTCAACCTTAGGTTGCGTCTACACTGCCACTTTCAGCACTAAAACTTTAGTCACTCACAGGGGTGAAAAAACACCCTGCTGAGCAACAAAAGTTTAAGCACTGAAAAGCTCCAGTACAGACAGCGCTTTATTGCCGGGAGCCACACTCCTGGCAATACAGCTGCCACCTCTTGTTTGGGGTGGTTATTTTTTATCACCGGGAGAGCGTGACTGTAACATGGGCAGTGTAGACATACCCTTAGTTTTGTTATTTTAAAGTGAACCAATTGGAGTTCATCACAAACCAATTAATCAGAAATATCCTGAAAGCGAAAGTCAATAGCTTCAGTGTTTGACTTTAAGGACATGTTACTTCAAGTGCATCCTAAAAACTGCTTGAGTCACATGTTTTATAAAAGCTACACGCAAGGAAACAAGTCATTCACAGATGAAGAAAAGTACAAACACAGACATACAAAATTTGACCATTATGGGATCATAACGGTCCCATTCTCAGTAGGACAAGTTGTTATCAAGATGCCCTGATATTAGTCAAGGGTAAGTTTTGCACAAGACTCAGTCTTCTATAAAGAGCCAGTGAGGGAGGTGGGAGGAGAGATCAAAAAGAGAAACAGCAAGAGATGGTCTCGAGAGACAGAATTCTAATGAACAGTCCTGAACAGAAGTCGCTTGACTCTCACAAACAACAATCGAAATCTAATCCAAGCCTACAGAGTTTTTTACAATTACATATATAGAGTATTGCTCTTGCCTTTAATTGTATGCCATCTCATCCTGGGCCAAAGCCTCAGCTCTGCTCTGGCAATGCAATGGGGATGGAAAGCCAGCTGGGTACTCCCCATACGTAGAATATCCAGGGAAACCAAGCTAAGGTAGCTGGCTCTGACACCTGCTCCTGAACTTTTCTTCCCTCCCGCCCTGCATACAGGGACATCCAGAAGCCCAGTGCAACTTTGAGTCAGAACTGCCCCAAATTACCTTCTGGATTCAGGAGTGAAAAAAAATTACTGATGTCCCCTGCCCAGACGCACTATGTCTGTTCCAGCATACCTGAGGATATGGCCCTATGCCGCCACAGAAGAGTGTTTTTGCCCAAATTATAGGCAAGAAGCCCCATCAAGCTTACAACATGTGGCAGTCTAATGGTCTGTAATGAAGATAACACCAGAACAATTTAGTAAGCGACAAATATTGATGGTTTCAATAGGCATGCAAAGGAAATTATGGCCACAGTGGAGGATGTAGCAGATACACAAACAGTAATTTCAAACTCCAAAAAGAAACAGGGAAATCCTGAATATCACAAAATTTCTAAGTCTACCTTATCAGATTCTTTATACATTTCAGTTTTGTACGTCTGATAGCCCACAAGATGCCTCCTTCTCTACAGTAACCAAACCATGCAGATGAGGTTTATTCTCTGTTTGGCAGGACTTATGAATAATACATTTAAGTATTATGGTAGCACCCAAAAACTCAGTTGTGACGAAGATGCTACTGGGCTGGGTACTATGAAAACGTAGGAGATAATCCCTGCCCTGCAAGACAGTCAAAAAGACACAAAACAGACAAAGGTTAGGGGACAGGGATACAACATACAAGCAAACTAATATGCTGACACTTGATACAGCTTTGCAAGTTACACATTCAGTTGTTTAAATTGGAGTGGAGAAGGGTGAAAAATGACAAGGATTGAACAAGCATGAGGGAAGTCAGAAAAGGCAAGTGGGGAAACAGCCATGCCTAACCATGACCTGCAGTGAGGATTTTGTAGACACATCTGAGACACATCTGAATCTTAAAAAGAAAAGGAGTACTTGTGGCACCTTAGAGACTAACCAATTTATTTGAGCATGAGCTTTCGTGAGCTACAGCTCACTTCATCAGATGAAGTGATACATCTGATGAAGTGAGCTGTAGCTCACGAAAGCTCATGCTCAAATAAATTGGTTAGTCTCTAAGGTGCCACAAGTACTCCTTTTCTTTTTGCGAATACAGACTAACACGGCTGTTCCTCTGAAATCTGAATCTTAAGTAATCGGAGGATAAGAGAATGGCTGAACAGATTGTATCAGGAGTTTTGCCTACATAGGCAGTGGCGTGGGAGAGACTGCAAAAGTGTTTATAAAGTAACAGCCTTACTGATGGGCAAAGGCTGGAAACTTTTACAGACTGAAGGAGGAGCATGGCTCAAACACTGTTACTAGATCAGCTAGGTAAAGCAGGGTTAAGTTGTGAAGGGCTATTTAAAGATGACCTACAAGGGATTAAAAGAAGATTTGTGCTCTCTTCCCCCACCCCCAGATGTATAGAGAGAGGTCTAATATGTGACTTAAGAAACGTGTTCGTGTTTTAGCAATATCAGGAATGCCAAATCCCGGCAGATCAGATTTGACATGCCCCAGAGGATACATATTTGTGAGCTCCTGTTCCTTTCATTGAAAAGGCTGGTGTTTCAACTCTTGGAAACAAAACAAAATCACACATCCTTTCTTCAAGGTCCTACAGGTAATGGTGTTAAACAAGAACTAAAACTAAATCAGGTTCTCTCAAAGTTAACTGAATAGCTTTCAGCCTTTTGATATAAATCTCAAGAGTTCTGCAAGTCCCCACAGACCCAGGAAGTTACACATATCTGGCCCACAGGACATACTCCAATTCTGTAGACTCAGCTTTCATTAAACAAACAAACAAAAAGTTTCTCACCATGATGGTTATGCAAAAAGCCTTCCAAATGTGAATCATATGTATAGATCCAGCTCCCCATCCACTATTAATTTAATTGGGTACTTAATTTCATTGGGTGACACTGCAAATAACCTCAAACTATTAAAGAAAGGGGGGGATGCATTAAATTGGTGGAACTACAAATGATGAAAAATAAGAGTAAAGTCCTATCCAATACCCACTTTAAGAAAAGAGGCAACATTTAGTTACTGCACAGATCACAGTGATGCTGTAACAAACTCATGAATGATAGATTTTTTTCATGCCCATCTCATTGTTTACATTTGAAAATGAGCTGGATGCCAGGTTAGTAGAGGACATAATACTTGCTTGTTTGTCCTATAAGCTTGTTTTTTGTAGCACACAAAATATTTGTGAATACCCACATATAGGGCCTGATCTAACTCCCAGTGACTCAATAGGAGACTTTTCACTCACTTCAGGAGGAAGCTGAATCAGACACACAAAGGTAACCATTTTCTATTGCTTTCAGAATGGAAGTCCAATTTGGTACACTTTTGTTTCACAGAGCCTTCATGACCTACTACCACAGAATTCTCCATAGAATTTGACACAATCCCAAATCCAACAGAATATACTGTACAAAAAACATGAACATTTTATCAGAATCCTTCCCC